CAGTTATATCACAGTCAAAATGTAAAATGCGACGTTGTTTTACACTTATCATATAATACTCCAGGCGACGCATTGATTCATTTATATATTTATTTACGAGTATTAACTATTTTAATAATTCTGTTTTTACTTTATTATTTCATTTTTTATATTCATTGTACTTATACAATAAGTTATAAGTTCGCGACTGTTTTGAAGACGAAACAATTAAACTCTATATTCATGCTTAAGTAGATCATTCAATGTTCGACCTTTAGTCGCACTAGGCTTTTAATCTTACTAATAGCCGTAAGTCAATAACTCTACTTCGAATTCCGGTTATCGAATAAATAACTTACTAACTTAAGACCAACATAATTTGTATATATCTGTATTTCTTTGCTGGTAGCATAATTGGTAAAATTAGAGGTGGCGGGGGCTTAACCCCTGAATAGTCTAAAACTTCTTAAATGCAGGAACAGAGACCCGCCAATCACATTTATTTAATATTAAAGTGGTACTCGAGTGAAGCTAACCTAACCTAACCTTGAGTGAACAAGGTTCAAGCGGTTATTGTGCCACTGTTCTTTATACTAATTTTAGGCAAATAAGTTGAAATATGTTTGAATAGGGTAAACATGTTTGTTGAAGTCGATAGGAAGATTGCTAGAGTATCAGGGAAACGGACATCATGTATGTGTGTTTAAACAAATCAAATTTGAAATTATTTTGTAAAATTTGATTTTACTTTATTAAAATAATCGTTTCAATGAAGTATGTATATAAATAAGTCGACATTTTTAATGACTTAATTAGGTGAATAGTGTTATCAATCAAAGCATTGTATATTTTTGCATATTTTAAAAATCTCTTGACTTATTACGTATACAATTGAAAAAAACGATAGAAATAAACATAATAAAATACAAGCGCCATTTGTACTAATTTGAATACGTTCACTGCGACCTTTGACTGAATAAAATTCCCCTTTCTATTATAATCTTTCATAAATAAAAAAAATTGACAGACTTACCATTCGCCATTTATCGCGACAGACTAAAACGTCAGTATTCTTTTACAAAGACGATCGGCAAGTACGATTTCTAATCACGAAAACTGTAGCAAGACCTTAAGAACAACAATATGGTGGGTTTAAATTCGGTGACACTCACAGAAACTTAACATTTAACCGATTCAAAATCACCAGTCCTACCACCGATTAAAATGCTAGTGTCTTGGATGAGAATGCTTTATTTTTCGACCGTGCACATAAGAGCAATTTATGGCGTTGAAAATCCAAAAATGACCTCTTTAAAGTACAATTTAGACAACTTGAGCTTCCAAAAAAAATACTTTATTTATACATCAGAGCAAGTTTACTAGGATAAAACGTATCCACAGACTAGTAGAAGAATAAAAAAAAGAAGAAAAAGATAAACATCTTGGTAAAACCAATAGCTCCCTCGTTACGTTAGGAATCTAAAATCCGGTTACTAAATGTATTGTTATTAGTCCCGAGACCCAACTATCCGACTATTTTCGAAATTTCAGATCTCTGTGTCTTCCAAAGACGTAGTCTAAACTCGGTACATCGTTGTTGTAATGGAAATAACGTACTGTAAAAGTGCTCTAACGAAGATATAAAATTTACTTTACGTGTTTAAAGACTAAAAAAATATAACCTAAATAAAATATATACTTTATATATACATATATATATATTTTGTTGTTCATCACTGCACATCAGACGATTTCTCGGACGGTTTGCTCTCCTCCGATTGGAATTGATATTTTGATAATAACAGCAGTTTATCTGTCTTCAGTTCCTTTTTATAGAATGATTGATGATGGTTTTATCTCGTTCGTTATTTGTTATTCTTTCTTTATTTATCCTTTCATATATTGGATTTTCGATTGATTTAAGCTGCTTCATTTTTGTGAGGATGACGTTCATATTGTGTATTTTTTTTTTTATTTGTATTGCATTTTTTATAGGTGTTGATGTTTTTATTTTTTTTGTGTTATTGACCAATACTATATACGATGTCTCTGCTTATTGTTTTATTGTTGTTTTTTTCTTTATTTATCTTTTCGCTATAGGAACCTCCATGTATTGCGACTGGTTACCCTAATCTTGTTACGTGAACGTATAAAATGTCCCTCGAGGCGAAACAAGTAGATACCAGGAAACGGACAGGTACGTCGATTTAACATATTATTGTCTTATACCTCCATGCTGGTGGAGAAACTGTAGAGACATACCTATTATGAAAATAGTTTATTTTTAGATAATATAAATTGAATTTCGACCTAAAATCGGATTATGTATGTGTTATTATCTAGTTACTATAGGTATCAACATTCTCGTGATGATGAAAATGATAGTGTTTCGCAAAAGCCCACTAAACAAGTCTATAACTTACGGTCATAGAATTAGAAGATAAATTTCGACTCCGACGGCTATAAAATTACCTATACTCATCAGTTTGCTTGTTGAGGCAGTTAAAATATCACTCACGGCCATTGCGACTTACTAGAAGTTACGATAAAATAATAAAATAATATAAACACAAATAATAAATTGATAGATTACCATTATTACGATAATACACAATACAAATATACAATAATCACAAATCACGATTACTCACATAATCCTACATTTAATAAATATGAATACACTAGCATGTCTGTAATAATTACATAACCCCTAATAAGTATAACGTGCAGCGCTTATTAGTGAGGGGAATTCGATTTAAACTAAATCAGCCGCGATAAGCCGACATCGATTAATATGGGATATATATATATATACCAATATATAATATATAATAGACAGTCCAAAGGGTTAAGCTTTATACTATGACGTACCTATAATCGAATAACGTATTTGAAATGACTCCAGTGCCAAAGTCAAGCGGTTAATCTATGAGTTTCATGAAATGAAAATGATGTTAAACGAACAAGTGTTTTGGCAGCTAGGCACACGGATTGACTTGGAAAATAAATTTAAAAAATATAAAAATAATCAATAGGTATGTATCCAAATCGAATACTTGATGAGTAATAATATTGACATGTCTATATTCCAACGTAAACCGCAGAAGGTGAATTTCCGGTCAGCCGACCACTAAACCCACTCGGATTCGAAGGTCAATGATTTGACTAAAGCGTTTAAAGCCTGATTATAAAGCGGAAAAAGGAACAGGCTTTATTATTGTATTATACAGAGTGTTATACTCAATTACTGATAAGAAGAACTATTTGGCTGACCTCAAATAAAAACGTGGCTTAGAAGTCAACCAACGAGAGGTTTTCAAATTTACTATTAATTCACATAGAAAGAAACATATATTAACAATGTTAATTTTATTAATATCAAATACTTTTTCCAAAAAAGTCTACGGTTAAACATAATGTATTTCTAATTTTTAATTCATGAACCGTTAAAACATATTTATTCTTAAAATTGTAAACATCTAAGTATTTATTTTTAATTTAAATATGTATCTATGTTGTATATTGCATACCTATGTATACTTTATTATGTATAATAATATGTATGCAACTTAAAATAGTTGTGCTTTATTTTATGCAATATGTTTACTTAATATGTTGATTATAATTAAATACAAAATGAATAAGTCAAGAGGTGATGGTTGAGGTGGTCAGAGACACTCAAGTCAGACAAGTCAGACTTGGTATAATACACTAAATAAAATAAATAAAATTTTTTAAAAAGTGTCAATATAATTTATCAGTCATCACGTGATAATCATTAACCGCATAAATTCAATCAAGAAACCAGACAGCCTATTAACTGGACGTGTCTCGTGTCGCGGCCGCAGACCGGTTCGGTTTGGCGACACGGATAATCGCATAAAAGATAACCTAATAATATTTTATGTAATAAAAGTATAGTCAGTATAATATTAATATCGGAAACATATCGTCGGTTTAGCAACGGATGACGTACTGTGTGTTGTGTGCAACATTTGTTTCAACGGGTGTTACACTATCTCCCTGTGTGTATGTTCAATACTGCATTAATGTCTTTAGAAACGTGATAGGTACATTTAGATACTTCCCCCTTTGACTTGAAATTTAAAAACGAATAATATTCCCATATTACACTCGGAGAACTAATTGAAACAACTTTGTGAAAAAATATTGTAAAAAAAAATAATAATACGGTAGTTAGGAACGTATCTATATAAAAAAAAATACCGGTTTACTAAAATGATTAAAATTGTAATAGATCAGGGATTTCTAATCAGATAAGATTAAATTAAATTTAAATTCTGAGTGGAACGAGGAATGTATTCGTTTTCCAATGTTTTTTTTTATGTGAACACTTTTTCTACCAGAAAACATACTCCGATTATCAAGTATAGCACGTTTTATAAAATAAAAAGTTCTCTGGTTGGTACTTGAAAAAGGTCATTTTTTGAAATTCTCATAAATATTCGAGATAATGAGGAAAACTTCGGTCTTTAGGTTAAAAAAGATTGAGAGATTAAAAATAAGGTTGTCATTGGCAACCGTTTTAATTTATTTTTAGTTACTACTAAGTTTTTATTATTTTAATCATTTTTAAACAATCATTGTTATCATAGAAACGCATATTGTTGTAATCATTTTACCATAATATAAAATTTACCATTGTATTGTTGATAAAGCAATATTATCAACTGAACTCCGATCAAAATCGTTTTTTTCGTTAGTCATAGTTAATCGTTGCTTATAGATATACACTAAATTCTTGTCTGTATCCTACCTTTCCAACTTTCCACCTATAACAGCGGCTGCACCCACGTGCGAAGTATGTCCGTCCCTTTAAGCACCTTAATTAAATAATCTTTGAAGACCCAGATCAATTTGACCCAGACACTTTTATTTGAACTTCTTTGCTGAGCAGAATGTTATTAGTCGTATTTTTTTTCCATTATTATACTAAGGGAAACCAGAAATCAACACAAATTATAAAACAAACGGCCAAAATTTTCCATTTATTAAGAAAAGTACAAGCAAAATCAAAAAATGAGCTCCTTGATGTATCGACCAGATTACAAATTTGACAATATATTTGTTATAAAGTTTTTAATTGGAACAAATGTTTTGGTAGAAAAGTTGTTAACAAAAAAAATAAAAATAAAATAAACGTCATAGTTAAAACCAATAACCAAATCAATGAACTTCATTCAGAATCTAAATATATATTATAATATAATAACACCTCCTCACGCACTACGCCACCATTGAGGTATATTATTAAAATCCTAATTATTTTCGAAATAATTAAAATAATCGAGTAAATTTAATATGTACGTAATTATAGAAAGTAATAAATTATCATCGTATATATATATTTTTTTTTTTATTCGAAATCATTCGTGTACAGCCAAACAGTTACAATATAATTTTATAGAGACCTCCTTTCCAATGGAAGACTTTACTATAATAGTACTATAATATGATATGCGTGCTATTTTCTTACTCTGATCATCAACTCCGAGGGTGGTTTCTGGAAGAAATATTTGTCCTTATAGTTGATGTGCAGAGAGGTGTTTATTTTTTTTCCTTGGTGTTCTTTTTTAATAATGAGAAAAACCTAAAGAAAAAACGGAAATATTGCTTTTAGAGTTATTGCAAATTAATACTAATTTCAAATTAAAGTTTTTTAATTCTCGTTTAATCGGATCGGCTTTCATTTGCAACGATTTATCGGTTGTTTGTTTTTCATTTCTAATCCTCCAAAAATTTGCGATGGAACTTTGAGCTGTAATTTGATAGTGGATTATAATTAATATAATTATTAACGGTTTAATTGCGAATTATTATTATTATTATTATTATTATTTAGCGTGAATTACCGTGGACGTCAGTAGAGTCATTTTCGAAACGAATGATGATGGATCGTCGTTATTATTAATATGGATGTTCGTGGCCATAAGTCCGAAATGGCACATTATTATAAAACCTTTTAAAAACGTGTCGTAAGCGAATCACAAATGAACGAAGAAAAATAACTTGCGATAGACTGCAGTAGTTTCGTCATAACAATATCACAGTCCGCTGCTGCAGTTGTTTACTCAGACTGTAAATATTTATACAAACGAACGCCTCGTGTATATATTCATCGGTGCGAAATATTTTCGTTGAAATTTTTACAGAGCGTTATTTTTGTACTCTTTATAATAATAACATGTATTCATCGATGATTTCGGCAATGTTTATTTGATAACTGAGTGTCCATTGTTAATAGTAATGAGATCATACGAGCGATATTTGACCGAAAACACTCAAGGCGGGGAAACGTTTCCACAATATTGGATTATGTGTTTACATAGGTATTATAGGTATTTACAAAGAACAAAAAAACAACCAACAATTAACTTTTCTCATCGGGATCTACCGTTTGTAGACTAGTATCTCAATATTTTTCATTTTAGTTCGTTCGCGCGAACTGTCGAAACGCGAATCGTTCTCCCCGAAAAACCGGTTGTTATCGGTACGGTTCCATACCGTGGCAGTTTAGACCAAACACGCATCAAGTGTGTTGTAGCGATATTGTTTTTTTCTTCTCGTCCGCGTTTACTGCAAGAATGAAAGTCATAGGAGGACCGGGTGAATGGGAATATAATAATATATAAGAATGTGTGCTGAATCCAAACTGCAGGCGAATGGCATCAAATGATAATAATAATATAATAGTTGCAGTGTTTCGCAGTCGAGTATAGGTCGAAATTTTATGTCATTATACTTTTTTTTTTTTTCTAAAATTTGTCTATATAAAACGTCGTCGTTGTTGGACGAAGAATGCAGATTATCGTCAGCTATTGCGGAAGAAGAACTAACCTCGCAGATATAGGGAATTACGTTCGGCCGAACCGTGCGGATAAGTTTGAATTTTTTATCTTTATAAAGCAAAGAAAATCCTAGAAAAAAAAAATATATATTTATAATTATATTTCAGAAACCTAAAATTATTTGACACGGTATATTTTAGATTCCGATTTCCCATCAAACTCTTTATAGTAATTTTCTTATAGCATTTTTGAACTGGTTGGTCCATTTAAGAGGTTAATTTTTAAATTTTAATTGCAGTTTTCTTAATAAATAGGAAAAACTAGCAAATGTTTGTATAATTTTTGTTGATTTCTGGGTAACTAACAACAAGGCAAAATTTTGATTCATAATACTTTGCTTAGCAACGATTTATTTTTGCGTACAATTACAAATGTAATTACTCTGTATATCTTCCCTTCCAACACACATCAGCAAAATCAGTCCTTCAGTTAGTTATTACCTTTTTACAATTCAGAAAGTTAAAGATTATTTTTCTCAATATTTCACATACGTTTATATTAAAATAATAGAATCTAATAAAGAGTTAATAAAAGTACAATTTCTTTTTCGTATTTGACAACATAAAAAAAAATAAATAACGTTCGGCACACTTTTCGTAATAATAAGCATTATAATATTGCGCGTGTGTTCATAGTATCTGTAGATAACTACAAGCAATAATTATTAATGTGCAGTATAAAACGAAATACATCAACTACCTAAGTATATAGGTAAACACCTAATTGACAGTATAGGTTGTTTATATAACTAATTGGTATATTTCACAACCAAAATAAATATGTTGAAATATTGTGTAGCTACATATTACTAAAACGAATAAAACATAAACACATCTAAATTTTTTTGTCTACAGCTAGGATAATTTGATTCATCAATGGCGTAACGTTAACAATATTGTGTATTACGGGTGGCTTATTGTGGAGTGCGGGTAGTCAAAGGCGTAAGACTGCATAGTAACTGATTAAATGATAGCAATTTTACTATAGATTTATTCAAAAGAACTATGGTTGTTGTAAGTATATAAAATTGCTGGTGCTCACACAAAAAAATAACACACCATTGTTTTAAGTCAAAGACGAAACATTTTAATTATAATTATAATTAATTTCACTGGGTATGTAAAACTCAATAATATATTAGTACAGAAATATCTCACGATCGAGGTCAAAAGTGCGTTATAATATTATAAAATTAAGTTTTCTATTTATATAAAATCTGCATTGATAGTATCTCGATAACTAGTAACTATTATAAAACATTTTCTAAGGTCGAAATGTTCACGATTTTTTTTAAGTATAACAAAAAAAAAAATTTTCCCTTATCAATGAGAATAATCATATTTGTCCGTTATTTTCCGGGTTTTCCAATTATTATGAAAATCATTTTGAAAATCAAAATATTAACCTCTTCAATGCACTAACTAGATCCGAAATGCAACAAAAGAGGATTGGAGTAAGACTTTTTGTAAAAAAATTTTTTTACGGACACACAAAAAACTAATAAACACACATTATAGTAAAACCAATGCAATCCCCACTATTCGCTCAGAATCTACATTTTTTTTTTTCAAAAATATCCGTTTATGTTGTTCGCAACACTTTATCTTATATAATGATTGCGAGATGTTTTTATGTGATTGGTGATCGTCTCTCGTTCCGGTTTGTGGGCACTAAGCTAGTGTCTTATCTTTTCGATTAATAATATTAATGATGCGTATCTAGTAATTTAATAATTTTTCCAAAGTAGTTATTGTTAATAAATTATCCCTGAATACAAAAAATATGACTTATAATACTCTGTTCAAAATGGGAGGGGGGTTTATGAGCCATACACGGTTAATAGTTGCATAATAATACAAATTAAATAACTATAACTGTGTAAATCATACCTTTTGAACTTCCCATCTACAACAGTGGCACACCCTCGGCCGTTCTGTTTTTATATTACTTGTGGGCTATTGCATAATATGTTTTAAGACTTTCGCATACCGTATTAATATCGTATACAACGTATAAAAACTGTTAATATGTTATCTGTATACCAATATAGGTACTCGTAAGCATTCTTTTTTTTTTTACGCGTCATATTTTGTCAAAAAGGAATTAGAACCATAATTCGTAATAATATATTGTGTCGGGCGCTGCAGTACATGCCTAAACTAAGTATAGCATTATTATATTATACATCGATACTATATTATATTATATTGTCAGCAAAATAACCACTAGATATATAATATAGTTGTACCTATAGGCTGTAATGTTTACAAAACATTTATTGTTACACGAAATCGATCTGGTCAGTTTCTCTAAATTTAATTAGGCACCTACCTATACCTATATTTATTTATTATATTATGTAACTCATTTTTTTATGATTGTTACGGTATTTTTTTTTTTTTTTTTTATATATAAATATTAAGGTGCGATTTTCGTTTATTGTTGATGGGTTTTTATAGATCGTTTATCGACGTAACATATCGTTACTGAATATGACTGTTATATGACACCACTATTACAGTCTATAATGTCAAACGATTTCAAAAAAATGCAACGAAATGCGGCATAATATTATTTTTATATTTTTCTACTAAGTATAATACTTGCGATGAACTTTATATCAAATTTTCCCTTGACGTATACAAAATTCATTCGCGTAAAACCGAATAATAATAATAAAAAAACCGCTTAAATTTCAAATATATCTAAAACTCGAAAAACGCCAGAATGTTTTGAAAATTGGATGCTACTTCGGTACGCGCCATACCAACGCGTTTCTGATTCCATATACGCTCTAATTACCGACGTTTTTGGAAACGGTACGCGTTTGACGTTACAGGATATTAACTATACGATTTCGATGCAGTGAATGATAAGAAAACCACTCATCTTATTAATAAATAATCTGAACGTCATCCAACAAATCTGGAATCGTTCAAAGTGTTGGGGACGTCCTTATCGTAGAGAGACGGGGAAACAATTGCTTACCTAACCTAAATCCAAACGTGATTCTACTGCAAGAATGATAGTGTTCTAAATGTAAATCTAAACCTCGTAACGCGAAACCAAGCTTTTGGCTATTTACAATAGCTCGTATAATTCCGTTGAAATTCAAAAAAATGTATAAAACATATTTTGCTACCGGAAAAACTAGAATTGATGTTGAATATTGCAGTATTAAGATATTTTGCGGAAAAGTTGTTTACAGACAGAAAAAACCACATGTCTTAGTAGAATCATTAGCATTTTCATAACGAATCTAAAAAAAAAAAGAAAAGCAATTTTAAACTTTATCAATTGAAACAACGGGCATATTATTACATTATAAGGTATATACGGTTTGTGCAATAACAAATTATATTTTTATTTCAGCTACATACTCTAGGTCTTTAGATATCTTTAGATAAAACTCTAACAAGTACTGTATAGTATATAGTTACTAGTAAGTCATACCCATGTAGACTGTAGATAGGTAGGCAGAAGGTACATAAGTTCTAAGGTCTAATTCGAGCAAAAACGCTTTGCAATAGAATTATTGTACACTAAATACCTAAATATGTATTTTAGATATCTCATTTTCATTCTTCTTCTTCCAGTCCCGCTGTAAACGAGCTGCTAGTTGAGTTATGCCTTTTACATATTACATACACTTCGTAACTATGTGAATAAAATAAAAAAAGTTGTATTTTTTGTGTTTCTAAATAATTGTTATTGTTCTATACGCGCGAATAGACGCCGTATAGTCTGTCGGTAATTTTCGGACAATCTTTAAACAAATATTTTATTCATATATAAAAATCATAAACATTGCAGACTCATTAACGTGTGTGCGTTTCACTTTCTATACGACGCGGTGCACACAAAGATCCGAAAATTGACTGAGAACTGTTACTATACTACACGAATGTACTTATATATCTATGTAATATATAGGTATTAATCACACTAAATTTCACTTGGATTTACATACTTTCCCGTATATTCTTTGATTAAGGAACTAATAATTAAGTATATTATTATATACGTGTGAGACGTGACTTAAGGTTAATCAAATACCTAACACGGCCTTCAATTTGAAAATAAAAACCTATTTGTACTAATATTATGATCGAAAATTGAATATCAATAAAAATTATTTCGTATAATGTATATACTTTGTAATAATTATTTATCAGAATTTAAAACAAAAAATTTTTATCCAGAACAGAAGGAGATCGGTGTATGGAAAATAAGAAAAAAAACAACGAGCCAGAGGGAGTTTTTTAGAAACAGAGAATATCGTCTACTCTCGAGTAAACGATTACAGTGAGCTTGGTACGCTTGGTGAATTTAAAAGTTCTGACTCAGAAACCGCTTGTAGGCATAATATAATAAAGCAATGGAAGATAAACTCGAAAGGAAAAATAGTCCTCTCACGCGGAAGACCCCGTTTGTGACGGATAGACGTGGAATTTTCAAATTGACGATAAGGCTGGAAATTAAAGCGGATATCATTGGAGAGTTGGGTACATGACTGGATGATCCTGTAGCGGCCGAAAAATGCAAAAAGAAGAATATTGATTATAATATAATATGTAAATGATGGAAAAGCAATAATTCAAACGATTTTGAAAACAACTTGTTTTCGAGTGCATTCCAACTGCAAAAATATTATTGTTTAGTGTTTATATTTAATAATATTATTTAACGAAAAAACAAAAAAAAAAAAACGGCCAACATTAAGAATATTATAGATAATCGTATTATAATTAATTTATAATGAAACGAAAAATTGAAAATACTGTAGCGGATGGAGTTTAATAAATTACAGACGATAAAATATACAAATACCCACTTCAAACATAATTTTCTAATTAATTGTACCCGGGTGCCCTTACACAATTTACAAATTAACAATTTAAAAAAAAAAAAAAAATTTAGCTATCTTTTAAAACTTATTTTCTGCGAATTTTATTTGTTTCGAATAATATCTTCTATATAAATTATAGTGCCATTATCTCGTTACCGTAATCTAACCCATTATTATCGAACTATAGAGTTAGATTATGGTATTGTTTTGCTATTCGATTCTAAAAACAAATCATACAACTATTGAAAGATGTGTAGCGAAAGAGTTTAAGGAAACAAAAAAACGAGTGAATAAAAAAGCAATACAATTTATTATATATATTATAATATAAAATTAATATTATTGGTAAGTATTACATATTATATAGTACTATATAATAAATATATAGATACCTACACTATATTTTAATACCATTGACTATATTATATATTCAATGATAATATTTTAAACGTTTTCACAAAAATAATTTTCGGCAATTTTTTTTTTGTATTTAGTAAAAAAATTGTAATATTGTACCAATGCATGATGTAATGTACTATTATTTCATATGACTTATTATATAACACACCTATAATAATACAATGCAGGTTTTGATTTTTTAAGATAAATAATTCCACCATATGCTACAGCCATGTGTTTATTTTAAGTTGATTTTTATATATTTTGTACTTACATTACAATTATAGTAGTAATTTACGTTACATTCGATTATGGACTGCAGATTTCGATACCTTGCTCCAATATTGTTTTTATGAAAACGTTTAAAATATTATCATTGAATATACCTATACAATTTATTCAATGGTATTAAATTATGGTGTAGATAACTATTATACAGTACTAAATAATATGCAGTACCAACCAATAATATTACCTTTTATATTATAATATACCTTATATATTATGATATGTAAAATAAATATATTGCTTTTTTCCCCTGACCCCGTAGCGAAGTCATAATTTTTGTAGGTGCAGCCAAGACCAATATTCTCGATTTTCGTAAAAATATTCGATTTAATTACTATTTCATTCAACTGATCGTGTTTAAAAAAAAATTAAATCTATTCGGTCGACTTGAGTAAGGTCGGTGTTTATTAGAGGGAATAAATATCCCACCACTTCCGAATCCGTACCTCTTAGTCTTGGAATTTTTCCTTTGAAATCAACAAAAAAAGAAAAAAACACACATACACGTTTTCGTAAGACTATAATACGAGTAAGTATTTATCAAGAGCATCTTCGTTACACTCAGAATGTAAAAAAAAAAAATATTCACTTTGTTTAATTATTGATTTAGTACGTTACCCACCTTCCGTTTATAATACTTGGTAGGTACGTGCGGTATTATTCCATTATTTATCGATAATTAGTTTTTCTCGGTTTTTCGCCTATGGATTTGCCCGTATTTATAGCTATAAGAGAGAAAATAAAATACCTAACCAAAACACGACTATAGGTACTACAGTAATTAAATAAAAATGTTATGAAAATCTCAAGGGGAACGGATATTTACGCTGTACGTATCATCAAAGAAATCAAATTGATTAATACGCGCGATTATAATAACAGCGTATTATAGGCATACAGTTACAAACGTTGCACCGCACATAATATAATGCGACCTTATAATATTGTATAATTTTTCACGAGAAGGTACAGAGTGAGGTAAATACGTATTTATTACTAGTTTTTCAAAAAAACTGACAAATAATTTTTAGTCTCCGCGGTTACCCATTTACATAATATTATTTAACATTTTTCATCGCGGGTGCATGTAAAAAAAAGATGTCACCAAATTGTGAAAAATGTAAGTGATTTAGAAAAAAAAAAATATTAAAAAAATTAAGTAGGTTTAACCTGTATTATGTTTCCTGAATCAATTATGTTAATTTCATTATGTTAAATTATTGAAATCAATGTGCATAATAAGTTATCTAAGTCACTTTTTTGCAGAAGAATTTCGAACATTAAAAATATAAAAGTCACATAGAATCTTCCAGCACTTTTATTGTGGAAAAATGTTAAATTGCCAATTACTACGTACTTATTTATTCTGTTTTATTAAATTAATCCTAATAAATTAAATTAAATATTTTCTTGATTTTATACAATTTCACTGCCTCCGTATTTCGCTGGACTACTTCCCTTTTTCTTTTTCTTTCACTATCATACTGACATACATACTTCTATACGAGTTTTTACTACCATATCTACGTTTACCGCCTAATTTGATCTTGAACTACCTTTTTTTGTGAAATTTTCATCTCTTAAACTTTGTAATACTTCTTCTCTAAATCATCAATATATATTTTCCAGGGTCTTCTACTCGGAGTCGTTTTCCTCGTGGGATTTTCGTTTCAATACTACAATAACTGTCCCGTTTTTTTTTCTTCTCAGTATTCCTACTGAACTGCAGTACGGGTAAACCATTATTTCTAGTATTCGCTATTACCTATTTATTCATAATTTCCCGGTGGTTTTTATTTTACCAGAATAATTGTCGAGTTGTTGTCATTATATTCACCTATACTTTAAAAAAACTAAAATTAAAACATATCTGGAATTGTTTTTCCTTTAAAATACCTAACTTCACTATTCTAATCTACCATAATTTAAGTCCAAAACGTTGAAAAAAGCATTCCGAAATTATTTTATTTAAACCATGAAAAGCGACATACCTATCAAGGACTGCTGATAATGATCACTCTGTATGTGTATAATATACGTAGTTACGTATTATAGTATACTATACAAAAAACTAACGAATCATCGCCGTTAGCACGATATTTCCGTTGAAGGTTAACCGAAGTCATCATCATATTATGATCTGCAGTCAAATGTTTATGAACGAGTATAAATTATTCCTATTTAAATATAAATAACATTATTTACTATTAATATTATAATTGACAAAACCATATTAACGATAGGTATTCATAATATTGGTATTGTGATCGGCGAAGGAGAGTTATAAATTGATCAATTATCAATATGTAGTTTAAATATACTATTAGCTGTATGATTCGGAGAGTTGGACAGAAATATAGAACAGATAATGTGTTTAGCAGAGCTGAGTATGCTTATGGGGATGAGTGCAATGACAAGAAAAGATAGGTTAATAAACGAATATAAACAAGAGATACAAGCAAAGGCGTTAATTCGATAATGGATAAAATGAGACAAAATAGACTGAAATTGTTCGGGAATAATAAATCAGAAGCAAAAGTTTGGTAATGAAAATAAACGTAGGAAAAAGAGGGGAAGAGGAAGGCCGAAAAAGAGGTGGGTGCAATTGAGATCGATTTGAGGACAATGAGCTTATATGGGGACTATCGGGTCAAATGGAAGTTTAGGACGAAGGTAATCAACCCCAAACTTGTTGGGACGAAGGCGAAAGGGAAGAAGATTTTAAAAAAAAATAATGAAAAAACTATTCCATTCCCACGGAAATAAGCATAACCAATCAATATAAACAAATCACGAATAACAAAAAAAGTTGAGGAAAAGATGTCCTAGGATAATGGGGACTGGTGCAGCCACTGTTATAGGTAATTTAATGTATATCTGTTAGTAACGATTAACCATTGCTAACGAAAAAACGATTCTGAGAAGAGTTCTGTTGATAGTGATGCTTTGTCAACAATATAAATATCATATTCTGGTAAAATAATTAAATAGGCATTATATATTATCTTTAATAATATTTTGTATACTGTACCGATTTTCCGGTTTTTCTTACGGTTTTTCCGGTTTTCCTATGTTTTTTCCTGGATTTTCACATTTGCTGGGATAACTTCGGAGGTACTTTAAAAAGATCATTTTTTGATTTTTCTAGGAGTTTTCATAATAAATGGGAATAAACGTAGGAAAAACTAGACAATTTAAGAAACGTATTATTTTCAAATCGTAAATGTTACAGCCTTTCAAAACATGTGTAACCGATCTCCACTCAGACCGTATTTCGTTAGCAATAATTAATCTTTGTAATATATGTATAAAATTTCTTCTTTACCTTACCAATTTCTTACTTACAACAGTGGCCTATATCCATCATAAGAAGTATCTCTGTTTTAATAAATTGTATTTTATGAATTTAACCTCATACTGTTTGCAAAGTAATAATAATATTTTTAAATTACTACTTTTGTAAAGTATTCGAATGTGTATATACTTTTAAAAAGTGTTTTATTCAAGGCTGGCTATTCTATTATAGATTTTATCTCTATCTAGATAAATATTTCAAGTAAGTTCTTCATTATCATTGTCCAGATATATTCAAATTAATCTAGATACAACATTGTCGTCACGGTGCGAAATATGGTCGGATTATTCGTTTTCATTTTGTTTATCACATTGCACATTTATACGCACGTTACGCGTGTATTTCAACTGTAAATCTATATCCAAAAATGTAGTATTTCAGATACTAAAAAGCTTAATTAATGTCGTTGTATTATGATAAAAAATATATAATACATTTAATTATTTATTCTCTATAGTATTATAATGTACGAAATATGCAATAATAATGAATATTTGAATAACGTTTACACGAACCGTGTGAATACACTGCATTTTCTAAGAAATGAAAATTATTAAAATAGTTTTAACGCAATTTTGTTTGGTTTCGTCATCGCGTTCGTTATTTTATGCGTTCGAGTCCAAAGTAAAACAATATAATACATTATTATGTAGTAAAACGTTCGCGATAAAAAATAATATAATACAAGTGGCGGGCTTTCGAAGTAAATACACGTTTTGCAAATATACATATTATTATAAATCCACGAAAACATAATAATAATATTTAATATGACGTGATATAAAAATAATGTTATAGGTATTATTAATATTATTTATGTTTGCGTGAATCATTTCGAATTCTAAACTCACTAAGTATCGTTACCTATATATCAAAAATAAATAGCGAAAAACTTGTACGTTTTAATTCAAGGTTGACTAGGAATGCAGGCAAATTTTTCAAAATACTATTTTGTTAGATATTATATAGCATTAACGCCCGGAAGGAGGACAAGATGGGGCATTTGCCCCCCTCTCTTGTTTTTAAAAATTACAAACATACTTTTATTTTAAGTACTGTTTGATGTTTGATTTTATTCACCTTCCTGATAAATTTCCTGCAGGCAACCATGTTATATAAGTATCTGGAATTATTCGGTATTTCCCGGGCTCACCTTTATCCTTATTTTACGGTAAATCGTTGTAATTTATCTTTTAGGGTGGTACTTCCTTGACATTGACGACCAAACTAAATTATAATAATAACTGTTTATTTTTTATCCGTGTCACCGAGGTAACCCGTAAATCAGCAACTAAAGTTCAATTTTCGGTCTAAAAAAAAAAAAAACTCTGTGTTAGCCACTCTATGGAGAATAATTTTCTTGATAAAAAGTAGACAGCAATCTTCTTAATGTTATGAATGTTATGTGTGCAAAATTTCTTTGAGATCGGAATAAAATGTAGATTTTTATAAAAACCCAACAAAAATCTAACTTGACTTTATTTATACGTCATGAGGACGATCTGAGGGATCGTGTCGAGTGGAAGTTTAGAATGAGGGTGACATGTCGTTTTTTCTTTTTCATAACTCATGATATTTTTCTAAACAGAATACGATTTTTTTAAAAAAAAGTGAAAAACGTGCAATAAGCTCTATTGAATACAATATTCAGTTCTCCCCCTGATCATTTGATTTATTTTCTTTTTCGATTAGTACTTAAATGTTCTGAATTGTTCAAATTATTATACCTACCAACTTAATAGTAATGGATTTTTCCCCGAAATTTCCAACGGTTAATTTAAACAATTTAAAAAACTGGTAACACTAATGATCGTACATCGGTTTCGTTTACGTCGATTTCTGGGTTACAAGTGGGTAAAAAGACGAATAATATCAGTTCATCGAGCGCCACTAAAAATCGTCCTTTGGATTACAATGATTTATCGTTGCATAATATTTTCTAAAAAAATTCGACGAAGAAATTGTATTTTAGAGGACTTTTCTGTAGATAGTCACGGTGTAGAGGGGTGTATACCACTCTGTTTATCATCGACGCGACGAAATTTAGCTATTAGATCAGAGAATTGATCGGGTTAAAAACGCGAGAGGTAGAATAATAAAGTTTTAACGAAGTTTTTTACCAAAGTAAGTCTTTTAGTCGTAAACTCATTTACCGCTAAGCCGGGAAAATATGCAGTTAATGTTTTATTAGGGCCTATATTTTAATTGGTATTAATGATGGATTTTTATATAACTATGCGAATATGCTGTAAAATTAATTAAAATAAGAAATTAAATATGTTCACCACGATCTATTCATAACAGCTAATAGGTATGTATATAACAATAAGATAAAAAAAATAATATCTAAAAAGTAAAAGTTATGTAATATATAGAAATCAAACGATTAAATTATATATTATATAATAAAATGCATATGTATTTTTTCTATATACACATGTAAATTTAATAAATTTATGTTTGAAAATAAAAATTAATGTAACGTGTTTATTGCATATGGAATAGTGATGAAACTATGAAAATATTTTAAGAATAAAAATATCATTAAACGATTTTATAATGACTAAACAATAAACTAAAATCATACACAGGTATTCAAACTTATTGCAAACAATCGCTGGATTAAAGTAAAAAAAAAACATACATCGCACGATGAGTGGGCCAATGTTGTAAGTGAGAAGTTGGGAAGGTAGGACATAGAGGGGAATTTAATATATATCTGTTAGCAACGATTAATCATTGCAAACCAAAAACGATAATAAGCGATTTTCGGTTATACATATTTTGGACGATCGTAATATTTAAATCCATTTAATAGCTCAATTTTCAAAAATTTGTAGCCATTTTTAAACTATTTGTAGACATTTTAATTTTGCAAATTCTTTACGTCATTTTTATTCGGTGGTAGTCTGAGAATTAAATTGTTAAGCAAAACAGAAATGTTTTAAAAAGAGGTTCAGTATAAGTATTATTTAGTGATAAACAAGAAAAAGTTAAATTTAATGTAGTAATATTTTTTTATAAGAATTTCAATATCAAATTTTGAAGAAAATCGTAAATATTACGGTCTTTTAAAATATGTATAACTGAACTTCGCTCAGAATCGTTTTTCTTTAGCAATAATAAATTTTACTTTCCTAACTACAACAGTTGCCCACCGTACGACCGTCTTTGTTTTATGTAAAACTGTTAACTACAAATTTTATCAAAAATCATAAAAATCACGATATTTCAAAATGAATTAGAGTCGTATTTCGTGAGCAACGATTCAATATTGAACACAAAAAATGTATACATTAATAGACACATTATAGCATTGAGAAAACACGCTGTTTAATGTACCTATAATACATATCTATTTCTATATATAAAATAACATGCCCTGACTAGTTGACTGACTAGTCCATCATCATAAGCTATGAGTATGGAATTTGGTCAGTAGTATCGTTTTTGATGTAGAGACCCTCTAAGAAAGGGTTTTTCAAAATTTAACCCTAAAATGGAAAGGAGTTAACAATGGAAAACGTTATTTCTTTAAGGTACACTATCCCTGAGTAATGTAGGCTATATTTTATCTTAACATTCATCCGATTAAGGTTGTCTCAAACATAACACTTTGTCTAAAAAATTTTGGAGAAGTATAATTTGTTTTGTTTAATTTCTGGTTAGTTAGGTTTGGTTGTCACAATACACGGACAATGTCGGGTTAGGACTTCTAGATTTACTCTTAGTATAGCCAAAAAATAAATAGCCATTCATTATGCTCGGTGAAACAACTTAAATAATTTTATCCTCAGTTTCTGGAATTTTCAATAGGTGGCGCGCGAGTTATTTAAAACGCGAATTAAGTCGCGTGCAATACAAGTATAATACTAAATGATTCAAAATTATTTAGTTATTATTGTTATTAAAAACGCTATTTAACAAACGTGTTACCTCTCACACGAACCAAATTAAAAAATAAAATTAAAAATATTTAAATGGGTAAAACTGGCCACGGGCGAAGCCGAGTAATACAGCTAGTATTGTGTAATATCGATGGATTTCCGAACGACTTTTCCGAGAAAAACGATATGGTTATATATGGAAATAATTAAAGATTTTTTTTTTTTAATATAATCTCTGATATAATATAACAGGTATTACGTATTATATTAGTATTTATATGCGACGGGGAACAAACGTAATTTTAATTACAACATATTTTCCCGGGAAAAAAATTACACGCACGGCGTAAAAACGTCACCACATGGCCCTGTAATAATATCTTCGATACTGCGATCGTTTGATCGAACTTTGAGCTCGTCTATACAATATGGGCGACCGTTGAATCAGTTCCCGATATGATGTTAATTATTTACACCGTCGATCAATAAATTGGTTTTCGAGTAAATATCATAATATGTATTATTGAAGTGATTTTCGATTTCATTTTTAACAAGAGGGTTTTCAAAATATAATATATTTCTATCGAAAGTTAATAAAAATACTCAAAATCACAGCCTAATAACAATAGCGTAGGGGAAAAAAAGCCCTGATCTAAATTAGCACGTATTTAAAAATAATAACGAACCTGTAGGCGAATTGAAAAATATGTACTTTTTAGCGGACATCAACAAAACATCTGACAAGTTATGACTCAAATTTATCATTTAAACGGTATAAAATTAAATGAACTGGAATCATTAAATGTGGTTCCTATCAACAACAGTGTATCAAATAGGTTTGTGTTGGCGATTGTTTTTTTTAAGAAAAATATTAAAATAATGTACCTATTATTTATAGCGAGTAAGTATTCAATACGTACCTATACGTATCCAATGTGTTGGTATTGTCCATATCAATGTAATATTGTAATGCTCAAGTCACGGCATGACGTCGTTATTTATTAAAAATGTTAAACCACCAAAAGATTGTCGAGATGAGTCATATTATATATT